TATTTTTAGCTTAAATAGATTTAAGTATCCCATTCGTAATCCAAGGTTTTTATTTTAGTTTAATTTGTTGGTTGGTTAGTATTTTATAAGTAGCATGTCGGTCTAAGATTTCATCAAATGTTTTTAAAATAAAATTCATGGATTTATTAACATCATCATCTTTTTTAATGAAGAGTTCCCAGTTGATATCAGAAATTTCCTCAATAAATATATTTTTATTAAATTTTTTGAAGCATCGTCTGTAAGTTTTTACTTCTTTGGGGTGGTGGGGTATGCTAGGAATGCAAATAAATTGTGCCATGTGGTCTGAAATTGAAATAGTAAGGTTACCTGAGAATTGATCAGTTGAATGAAAGTTCGTAAATATGTTATCAATGAGCGTTTTTGATGTAGCCGTTATGCGAAATGGTAAAATTATAGAAGGGCTTAGCGAGTAAGATGTTAAAGAATCTAGATTTGTAGAAACAGGGTTAGATTCATTGTGACTTAATAAACCCATATTAAAATCACCCAATAGAAGAATCTTTTTTTTTCGTTACTTTACTTTTCAAGTAGAGGAGTTAAGTGGGAAGAAGTAAATTCATGTTGATTCATTGAGGGATGACAATAAATGCAACCAATTATTATATTAGATTTAAAAGGTATTAAAATTTCAACAAAAATACGACGTAGTTTAAATTTGAGCGTAAGTATAAAAGTGCTCCACCTTTTTTAGCCTCAGTAGGACAATGCTCAATATTAAATCTGTTTACATATATATCAGTTATACTTGTATCGTTTATATATAAATTAGATTCTGTAATACCTATTGCTAAGGGAAAATTATTAAGAGAGCTGATAAGACTACAGAGTTTGTCAAAATGGAATGGTAGAGAAGCGATGTTAAGATGAATATATAGTTCTGAATTGGGAAGCATAGTTTTATTGAGATCAACAACGTCATATTTGCAATTAACAGAATTGGGAAATTTATTTAGATCTTTAAAGATATTTTTATGATTACTTGAAGTCTCAAAAGAATATAATGAACTAGCAGATATATTTTTGCATTATAATGTTGACTTAAGCTTTAAGTTGGAAATCGAGTTAAAGGCCATACTCTTAGATAAACAGCTATGACAATACAAATCTGACGAGTCATTCAAAAGAAGGTTTTATGATTGTGCATTGATATGGTTACACTTTGCATGGACCCATGAGTTACAAAGATCACATTGGATGGCTCTTTGATTGTTAGTTATATTTTTATGACAAGTATTGCAGAGAGATTTAAATGCCATAATCTTTAGAAAAAATATATATATGTGTGTATATACAGTATTAACTAGTTAAAGTGACTAAAGTGTGAAATAGAGATTAAAATTTAAAAAAAAATAAAAAAGATAAAAAAAATTGCAAAGTAGAAGACTAAATTTATTAATTTAAAACTTGGGTAACCGTTGGCGCAAATAATCAAAAATAATTTTAAGAACAATATAAAAAAATGATAGAAAAAATTTGTAACACTAAAGAAAGCTAAAAGCTAACAGTTATAAAACTAAACAATTAAAATAAATAAAACTTTGACAAACCACGAACTAATATTAACAGTAACTAAGACAACTAAAGATATCAAATATATAAAAAAAACTAATAATACTTTAATAATATTTATAGTATATTAATAATATATACTTATAATAATATAACTACTGTTAACTGCTACCAATAATAATATTGTCAACAAAGATACTAAAATAATAATAAGTAAAATTAAGTCAATAATAAATAAGTTTATAAAAATATAATATTAAAGATATATGTAATAAATAAAATAAGTAGGTATCAAACGAGGACTAAAAATAAATACAATTAACTATAAAAAAATAATATAACGTGAGAAAACAAATAATAATATAACAACTGAAAAATAGTAATAACTAATGAATTAAAAATAATAATAGCTAATGAATTATAATCATGATTACAAGTTATATCGTAAAGAAAAAATAATTATTAAAAAAAAAAACAAAAAAAAACAAAAAACCCAATCTTCGAGCTCTACATTTGCTTATTCTTCTTTCTTTTTAAATTGATTATTTAATTCTTCTAATCTTTTTTTTCTTTTTATTTGTTACTTTACTTTACTTTCGTTCTTTTGTTTACCTTTTTTTTTTGTATTTGTTTTTTTTTTTGATTAAGTTTATGAAGTGTTTTTTTTTTTTTTCTAAATTCGAAGTTCTTTTTTTTTTTTTTTTTTTAACGTATACTTTTTTCCTTTTGGAATGATTTTTTGTGCGCGCGTTTGCTTTAAGTTAATTTATATGATCGTTGATGAGCTATTTGTGGTTATAAAATAAATAAATAATTAGAATTTTTATGTATAGTTTGGTTTTTTCTATAATATTTATCTTGAATTTTCTCTTTTTCTGTTATAAAAACGCATCCACCATTTGCGAAGACCTTGCATCAAGTAACACTTAAAAATATCTAGGAGTAATTATAGACAGCCACCTTAATTTAACCCAAAATTTCAATAACTCGTTTAAAAGGCAGCTTCCCGCTTTTATTTGATGAAGAAGATGCGTAGCAGATTACGCAATGGATGCAGCAAAAATA